AGAATAAGAAAAAGCTGCAGTTTTGCGGAAAAAAAATTGTCCGATATGCTGTATTTTCTAGAAAATATTTTAATTTCCTTTTACAATTTTAGCACAATGTCAATACAAAAGCCAATTACTTAATTACAGTAACAATTACTTGATTTTATATCGTCTTTACAATATAACACTCAATATTTTTCCTCGAACAGTATTTTTATACATGAAAATATTTATATTTTAGGAAGGGTGTCCCTGCAAAGGTATCATCATCAAAAAGTTACCTCTGACCTATGCATCTTCATCAATACTTTGCATTGAACAACCTGCATCAGTCATCCACCTTTCAAATGAATGTCTAAATATAGTCGGTTATGAGAATTTACACTGTCAATCAGCATAATTGACGTTTGTGCCTTTGCCAGAGTAATGGAGAAAAATGTCCTTATGGGGTAAAAGACTCTCCCGGGACAATCATGCACATGCACAAATAAGAAGCAGCTGGAGGGGAGTACAGGAACTCGAAAACACTGGACCCTTCAATCCACAGACTGCTGTGCTCCTCCTATTTCTGTTTTATCTCTCACAGCTGTCTACCTGGGACTGCTGTGAGCATCGACTCAAACACCCGCCCAATCACACACACCCATCAGCTAATGAAGCCTGGCCATTAACACGTGAGCTGAGCTATAATGCAGGATGATCTTAATGATAAGAGCAAGACAACCTAAAGAACAGCAGGATGCTATGAATAACCTTTTTTTTCTTCAATAACTTTCAAATGGTTTAGTAAAGGTTTAGACAGAAAGAGAGAACACTAACGAGTGTAAAGAGGCTAGTCATTAATCTGCTGAAAGTTGGACAGATTATGACATCATCACCAATGTCCAATCTGTTGCCTGAATCGTATTGATTCAGAACACAGTACAACACACATGCAGTTACACAGCAAAAAGTACAATAATAACACCAAAATCTATTTTTTTTTTACTCAGGAAAACCTCTAGACTTGAATGCATCTTCTTTGCTGGTTGAGGGACTCCCTCTGGCACAAATAGGTCTTTGCACAGAGTTTGCAGAAATAACACAAATACGCCTAAGGTTTGTGTTTTCTTTGAGCACCAAACTCAAAGAACATTAAACTGTATGCTACTGGCTCCCTCAGTTGAGCTGAACGTTCAGGGAGAATGAAGCACATTGAGGCAATGCCACAGTTGCTTGCTAAAACACAAGGCTACACATAGACCTTTTGGCTTTTTTAAACATATGGTCCTAAACTAGCTAGCCCTCAACAGAATAAATACATTTTGGCTAAACCTGCAACCTTATTTTATTTTATTCCAAATCTTGGTAACAGGTTTGTAAAAATGCATATAGGAAATGCTCATATAAAATGAACAGAAAATAAATGGCTCATTCAATATTTAATCCAAACCTGCAACCTTTTTATTTTATTTTATTTTGGTAACAGGGATGTAAAAATGCAAAGAGATACATAGAAAATGCTCATATAAAATGATGCACAGAAAATAATGGGCTCATATAATATTTAGTTTGACCTTCTGAGGTTGACAATCAAAATTTTTAAAGGTTAAAAAAATCAGTTTTTGCTTTTTTTTTTGCACAAAAATGAAAGTTTTCTTAATCAGTATGTGCACAATAATTATACATATTATTGAACTTATGTAATTCATGATAATATTATTAATAAAAAAACACTTTTTCTCTGATGATCATGGATACATGAAACTTGCAAAGAAAAAACAGCAGTAATGCGCCATAACATGTTTCACTGCCTAAAAAAGTACACTCAATTTGCTTGGAAAGGAAAGATGCTGTGCGAGTGGCTGGAACGACCTCATTCTGTGTTTTATCCCATCAGATGTCATGATCCCAGTGTGAACAGTGTTTATGTTTTGATGAGCAACGCTTAGTTTGTGACCTCACTTCCTCTGAGGTCAGGAGAAGGTGTGTGTGAGCGAGTCACGGATGGCCAAGCAGCCATACATGGAGTGTTTTGGTATTCCTCTGCACCTGTTTGGCACCCGACTGCAGACGCAGGCAAGCGAACAGACATAACAATCCATTCGAGCAGTATTGAGCTCACAAAGCTACTCTGGAAATATGCAGTGGAGAGGGAATTGACATCATCGACTTGTCGCATTTTATTAGCAGAATGCCACATTCACCTCCATTTCAGACTGTAGGGGGAGCCATCATACAATCTACATGTCTGATGACGACAAGGGGAAAGATACCACATCATTATTCTCTGTATTTAGCTCTTAGAGAATCAATGGAAAGACATGAACATATGCAAATCCACCGGACGCTATAATTTGTAAAATATTAAACGACCGATTTGGGACAAGATGGTCTTGTCACATGAGATTATTCCCTAGGTCTATACAGGAAGATTTTTCAAAAAGAAGCTGTAATGTATATGAATGTCACAGATCTTCTGAGATGAGCTGGCGTGTTGCAGTGGCATTACCCCTGCAGCCAATTAACACAAGCAAGGAGAGCCTATACTCGACTGTGATTGGCTGAGGGCACTCAGGGGATCTCATTACAGCATGGTAGTGCAACTCTTCACTGGCACAGCCTCTGACGGCAGTTTGATCACTGGCTCAAAGAGTGCCAGCATGGACGACCACAACTCCAGTATTCTTTTTCAACCAAAGTATCACAGTTCTTCATATTCTATACGACGTTTTATATGCAGAAACTACTAGTAAGGTAACAGATACAGCTGATGTGATGAGCTAGCCTGATTGCAGTCGGCACTTCAGTGATGAACACACCCCTAACCGTCAGTATTACACTTTAACAGAAAATCCTGCACTGGATATTAATGAGAACTCAAATCTTGTGGGGTGCTATCGGATTTATGATTTTCGCCTGATGGATGATAAACTGTGAGACTTACACAGAAACTTGGAGTGATTCTTTATAAAGTCTGCATTTATAATAATAATAATAATCAGAAAAATCTCTTTTTGGAAACAGAACTACTGTACCTTCAGAAAAAATATGCAGAAAATCAATAAAACAAATAAAAATCTTTTTTGATATATCAGGCTTTTATGGTTTTACTGACTATAACTAACATGTATTTCATTGCATTTGTAATCTTTGAAGCATTTCAATCTATTTAGTTTTCTTTTTTGTTCATACAGGAATAATATATTAGATTATTCATATTAATACAACAAATCAAAATTATGGTAAGAATAACAAACATCAATGAAGACTGGGCTACAAATATATATTGATTTTAAGGGATAGTTCACCCAAAAATGAAAATTACCCCTTGATCCATTCACTTCAGAAGGCCTTCATTTACCCCACGGAGCTATGTGGAGCACTTTTTATGATGTATGGATGCAGTTTTTTGGGCTTAAAAATCTTAAACCCCATTCACTGCCATTATAAAGCTTGGAAGAGCCAGTACTTTTTTAATATAACTGTGATTGTATTCATCTGAAAGAAGAAAGTCACATACACCTAGGACAGCTTGAGGGTAATTTTCTGTATACCTACTGTATACCTTTAATTTTCTTGTTTGTTTATACAGGAACCTATCATTTATATATGTTATTATTAATATTAATAGATTCATAATATTATACTAATTAATTCACAATAATTATGTGCTAAAATATAAATTGATTTAATATACATATAAGTACCCATTCTAAATATATCTTGCAATTACGTTACATATTTTGCAACGATTTTTTATGCAGGTACTTTCTGACATCAAAGTGAAAAACAAACTTCTGCAAACCATTCTGGAAATGTTATCGTTGCCAGACCTAACACAGAAAGCCTGTGGAGTGATGTCATGGTAATGACATTCCCGTGAGAAAGGCAGGGGTGCAGTTTGAGGGTCCTGGCTGATTTACGTACATGCTTTCTGTGAATGTAGTCGGAAAAAAGAAGCACTGTACACATAAAACACATACTGTATAAACACACTAGACAGACCGACGCTCGCATGCATGAAGAACAATCCTAAAAAAAAAAAAAAACCTCCATCTGAAGGCTGGTCTATTATCACAGAGCCGAATGGATCCGTGACTGTGTGCAGAATGATGAGCTTTATAATCCAGACAGATATATAAAGCTCTATAATACAAACAGAATGAAGCTTGGTAAACAAAGCCTTTACCTGAGCTTCAGCTACAGACTGCGGCCTGGAGAAGATCCAATGTCTGCAACTATAGTGTGTGTGTGTGTGTGTGTGTGTGTGTGTGTTCGTGTGTTTACACCACGCCATGCAGCGAGAACTGGATTTAATGACTGTTTACAGGCCGCAATGACGTGTGTTCCACACATACACAGCTGTCAGTGCGGTAACTGCCTCTTCACTGTGTGTTCACATGCCACGACTAATTTAAGGAAGCCAGGGAAGCCAGGACTTGCCATAGTGGAATGGGGGAAGGGTGACGTCCGTATGTCAGAATACACTCTGATGCCATATGGGGACGATGCCCAAGGACCGAGTGCGTTTTTATTCAACAAAAGCCTTTGTGCACATTTAAAGGGATAGTTGTTCATCCAAAAATGAACATTCTGCTGTCAAAGTTATTTTTAACTAAGGTTCATCACGTTCAAGGGCTGTGAAGCTCCAAAAAGGACCAAAAATATTACAAAAGAACCATAAAAATAGTCTTCTGTGCTATATCCTGAGACTAAAAATGTATTTACTGAATATTGACTTAAATTTCGGTGTGCTTTCAAACAGATCTATCTACAGGTAGGGCTTCAAAAGACTATAATGAATGAGTGATATGAACTAGCTTTATGTTACTGTCGTGGTGCTATTTTTGGAGCTTGACAGCTTCACAATAAACTTTGTGAACTCCCCCTTTATCTACCAGCCTTATGTTCTGGAGTTTTCCAGTGTTTAACTGCTCACGGCGTATCAGACATTTCCAGGTTTGCTCATCCGTAGCGCTCCTGGCTTCAGAGAGCTTTGCAATGAAAGCAGAATTAAAAAGCCTCTTCAAATAAAGCACATGCTTACTTTCATATTCTTCTTGTATTCTCAACGCACAATTTTGTCTGTTTCAGTACTTATCTAAGTTTAACAAAGATTTGTGATGGATAGTGTCTGGGAGCAAAGTATTTGGCAAAAAACACCTCTGGGACGCTTACACCCTCTGATATCTCTCTGCGCCTGCCTTATCCATTACCAACCATTATCACTCCACATGAATAATCTGCAATGAATTTCTAATGTCCCGTTTCTCTGTGACGCCATCATACCATTTATCATTCACAGTGTCTAGTGAAGCTGGACTACTAGGTGATAGCGCTATATGGAAATGGACTGAGTTAAATGGACAAGCAGAGGACGGATGGGTCAGTAAACAATGCATGAGCACACACCCACCTGGAGCCTGACTCGCCCCTCTTTCCTCTGTCGGCCCATTAAAAACAGCTCAGATGCACAAACCTGCTTTGCATTATGGACAAAAGGATGACAGATTGACAGAGGACCACTTATTGGGAAAAGAGCTGCCATCAGAATCATCAGAAGACCACCACCTGCCAACCTTCAGCAAAATATATATATTTAGTGCATGTACAATTATGTAAAAAAAAAAATATATATATATATATATATTCTGGCTGATGGTGATTTTATTTATTTTTTGTTACGGCTGATAAACGATAAACAAAACATTATAATTCTATAATACTTTGACTAAATAAATTCGAAATAAATGATAACAAAAATATATTTAATTATTTTTTATTATAGTAGAATAAAAATAAAATAAACAAAAATAAAACAAATATTATGGCTGATAATTTTGTCTAAATAATAAAAAAATAAACCACAACTAATAAAAATCACTCATTTTTCATACTGTACATTATAATGTAAACTATAAAAATAGATATTCATTTTGAGATTTGCTAAAGTTACAGGCATTTTAAAAATTACCTTTAAATGAGCGTTAGATAATCTAAAGGCAAAAATAAGCAGCACAACTAAATTTCCGACATCGGCTGATACTGATAAATTAAACAATCTCTAATATATCAGCAGATAACGGATACGGTACCGATTTACTGCACACCCCTTATCTGTTCTGATCTTTTCAAAATGACCAAATATCTATCCAGACTTCACTGCAAAACTCTGAACAAGCAATATCAAAACCCAGACCTCCACAAAAATGTCAAAAAGAGCTCAATTATTCCCCAGCACCTCCGGCGAGATCTTTATATAGACCTTCTCGGTCTACAGAGTGAAGTAGCCTGGATTACAAAGACAGAGCAGCTGGAAGCAGAAGGGTAATGAGTGACAAGCATGCATCAGCAAAAAGACAGAGCTGCCTAACTACGGCTTATACCTCCAGCTCTGGCTCTGCTTAAACACAGGAGCGGATGGAAGCAGGCATTGAAAGAATGTGAGGTACGCTTCACTTCATGTTCCCTGGATATTACTTTATCTCAGATGTTTTGAGTGGCAGTTGAAAAGCATCTCCCGAAATGAATAATTTTGATTCAACCCCAAAAAAGCAAAGATTGTACACTTTGTTCCAGAGTCTTTCAACATCATTTTTTCATTCGTTACATCTGAAAAGGGCGAGAGAAAAACGAACAGGCTGTCTCGGCTGAGGCAAAGCGTCATTTTAGTTTCCACTGAAGGGATTTCCTTTTTTCTCTCTCTGTCTCTTTCTTTCCAGTAGATTAAAATCCTCTCCTTCCAGTCTCTCATGCATAATTATGTTCATCACAAAGGATGAGCCTTTTAAACGGGCAGGAATTGCAGATGAGGCTGGATTGATTGGTTGCCTGCATGAGGTAATTGATCTGGAGTTTCTCTCATATTAGTCCTGCATCGTTTGCTAGATTCCACTCCTGAATAGGACAATACAATACATTTTTAATAATAATTTTTCTCTGAGCTCTATTTGCATTGGATCTTATATGAGATAATGAAAATAATGATAATTATTACTCAGAATAATGACAATTATTAACCTATTTTCTCGTTATCACTGAAAAGCAATATTTGAGCCCTGAAAGTTAATGTTTTCATAGTATAATTAATTGTTTCATCTTAAAAGAGTCCTCGCTATTAACTTAAAAATACACAATAAATCAGGCCAGTCTGAAAATGGCAAAATGAAACCGAATAACAGCAAGTCTCAAAAATTTGAACTCGCTTGAGATTAATGCTTTAGAGCAGAAAATCAATATAGCTCTCAAAAGCAGCATAAAATAGGACCTTTCCACAAACTACAGTTTGTTTGAGGTGAGACAATATAATTGTCAAATATGTTTGGTCTCAACACATCTATCTTTGAAGAGGAAGAATAGCCAAAGCATGTCTCCTTGGTTCTCTAATATCATTCAAACAGTCCACCCCACTATAAAAGTGCCCTAAATTTGTCCGGCATCAAGAGAGGCTTTCAAAAGAGCCTTGCACAAGAGTAAAAGAGCTTCAGAAAAGCTCCCACCGACTTCAATCAATACTTCAGAGGAGAAGAACCACAGAGAAAGTTAAGAGTGATAAACAAATTGACTTTACTCTGTGCGTAAAATGACAGTGAACATGACCTCCAGACAACCTTTTTCAGATCTAATAACAGTTTTACCACATAAATCGAAGTCCCAAATGTTATGAACATCAAAACGATGAATAATTGCTTGAGGGTGTGTAAATAATGATAGAACATTCGTTTTTGGGCGTACATTCCCTTTAATTCTGTGCTTTTAGAGTATTTGGCTATTCCAAGTCTTTCCACCCTGCTATTTGCACTCTTTATTATTATTCTCATGAACAGAAGTTGTGGTACATCTGTGGACAAAAAGACTGTGGAAACAGTTTCATGTTTGGGTTGAGAGTAAAATAGCTAAATATTTCCGACCACGTCACTCAGTCTGACATTTTCTTCCACTTTAAAATGGGAAAAGTCAGTCTCATCTTTCCTCTCTAAAAGCTTCCTCTTTAGCGGCTATTGTGCTGCTCCTAGCTGTTTTACAAGGGTAATGATGTTTATATGAGTTACATAAAGGCATGCTGGCGTGCACAGCTCTGTCAATGGAACTGAAATCCACCAATTCGTTTGCTGTCTCCTATGAAAAAATTGACTTTTGAAGAGTCCTTCATATTGAGCTTTTTTGAAATGCTATAAACAAAAATAGAAAAAAGGCAGAAAACTCCCATTGAAATGTCATTGAGAGTTTCCCGTGGTGAAAATAACAATCTTTCCAATAACACGCAGGGGACACAGTGGTCCTTGAAAATGATATAGTGAGATACAAAAGTGGTCAGAAAGGGAAGAACGGAGTACAGATCTTTGATGTTTGCAGCTCTGCATCATTAATTGTACAATTCAATATCTACAATTTGCTCTGGAGCAAAAATTCTTAAAGAGAGGAGCATGTGATAAACTAGATGACCAATTTCAGATCTAAAATAGTGGCCAGAGGGGACGTTTGTGTGCATAAGGTTTAAAGGGTCAGGCAACATTAAACAGGAGATGGACTGACCTATTCGCAACGAGGTCACGACCGCCATCAATATTAGATGTGCAGCAGAGAGAGACAGCGCTGGGCAATGTGCTGTGAGATGCATAAAATATGGAGCCCCAGGTGGAGGGGACAGGCCAATATCCAGCCATTACTCTGGCCTTGAGCTGACAGACCGCTGGCTAAAGGTTACATCATGAAAAGGCATTCAAGAGCTAAAGTCTCAGTAAAATGTACATAAGATTGCGAGGCTTTAAAGGGGTCATATGATGTTGCTAAAAAGAACATTATTTTGTGTATTTGGTGTAATGAAATGTGTTTATGCGGTTTAAAGTTCAAAAAACACATTATTTTCCACATACTGTACATTATTGTTTCTCAAAGCTCATCGGTCTGAAAAGCGAGGTCTGCTGTGATTGGCCAGCTATCCAGTGCATTGTGATTGGCCGAATACCTCAAGCGTGAGAGCCGTTTTAGGTAGGCGTGGTTGACTCTTAACTTTTATAAAGAATATCTCTTTGGATTTGAGACTTTAGTCTTTGCAACTTTACAGATCTTCTTTATGCACCAAGAGCTTGTAACACTCCAAAGAGAAAGGAAAAATTTTAATCGCATCATATGACCCCTTTAACAGAACATAAAGATGTTCCATTTTCTTAACATAACACCATCAAATCCATTAAAACTGTCTAATAAGTGACAGTCATTTTACAACAAGAGATATAACACATGTTAAAAGATTCAGCACCCACAGAAAGGACTTTATGAGCTGAAAGGTAAGCTTTGGTACGATAAGACGGGATGGATTGGATTTCAAATCCATTTGAAAGGTAGGGCGATTCACTTTGTATTGTTTAGGCAGAGCTGATATAAATTTAATGAGTACTCCAGAGCTCATTCAGAGCAAGAAGTATGAATCCTTTCATAAACGGGCTGATAGGAAAACCATTCATTCAGTTTAAAAATAAACCATGTTAGAGATTCACAGAAATCATGAAGTGACTGTTCAACTGCACCACAAAATAAAACAACGACTCATCAAACCAAAGAATGTGTCATGTGATTATACTGCTGAATGTAACCTAATTACTCAGTGTAAACCGCAACCCTTGCTCTGAAATATTAATAGATGCTTGCTAATAAGTATATTGGCACTGTGTCAGAGGAAAACGGGAACAGTGCCTTCACTTGTGATGACATGTTTGTCAATGAGGAAAAATTACTAAATAATGAGTTTTTCCAAATTGGAATATGAAATTTCAACAATACACACCACTTGCCATGGAAAGCAATGTTCCCTTTAAAAAAGAAAAATACATAATAAGTTTGATCATAGATAGATAGATAGATAGATAGATAGATAGATTTCCCAGAGATCAAAATAAACAAGCATTCATGTGTCTCATATAGGCAAATGACTGAACTAGTACAAAAATATCTGCAGGCTTCTCTCGTAATCTCTCCCCACATTGCGGTGCAGTTTCCCATCCAGCCGAGAGGTCGTGAATCAGACAGCATTGCTTACTCACCCACAGACAGTTCAGTGATCTGTCTAGAGACGTGCTGCTTTCTTTCTGCCACCGTTTGCCCACTTGATCAGTCAAACGATTCTGAAAAATTCCAGTGTCTCCTCTGAATATAGAACTCAAATCTCTCACGTTGATGTTGAATTGATGCAGGTTTCTTCTTCTTGCTGTAAGGAACGTCTAAAAAACGGTGACATCCAATCCATGAGCAACTTTTTGAAGTCTGGTTATAAGTCTAAAAAAGCCTGACTGCAGGCAAAGAGAGCAAAAAAAGCCTGGAGATTCCTTTACAAAACACAGGCTCCAGCAAACAGGTCGCCCCTGAGAGCCCCCTCTCCAAAGGTTTGGAAAATATTTGCAAACGTCTGGTGACGCACTGGAGGAAAACTCACGGATGCAGACAGCCACTCAGACAACCCATAGGAAAAACGGCATAACTGAGAGATTCATAAAGTTCTCCAATGAGAGTACGACACAAAAAAAGAACAACTACCTCTCCATTTCTACACGGTGTTTGAGAAGGAAAGTCAGGACAAGGCAGGCACCTTCAGACGCAAATGCAAGCCGCACAGAGTAAATTAATAACAACCTGTGCTTCCATGGTGTGCTAGTTTAAACCACTGGATCAGGTTGCCTGACATCTACAGTTTCACAAGACCTTTATTTTAAAACAGCCTAAAATCTTCCAAAAAGCAATTTCCTTTAGCCTTGATAAAACATCACAGGGGGTTCCTTTTGAATCCAAAATCATTACAGATAGTATAAAAAATAAGACATTGCATTCCTGGAAGAAGGCCCTTGTGCTGGGTTTGTGCCCTGAAGGCCGACGAGGAGACAATTTTTCCTTGTGAAATGAGATCTAGAGAGTGAACTCATACTAAAGATGACAGCAGAAAGGCAGATATGAACAAGCCGGAAATGAAACTGAGAAGAACCTGAGAACTCTGCCATGAGACACCCAACAATGAGAGTTCGAAAGTGGAGATCCTGGAGCTCAGGCTTACAGGAACACTATAATCAAATTCCCCCCAAAACGCTGGCTTGCTGTATCTTCATTAATTTCTCTGCCAAAGACTCTTTTCTAGCTACAGTGTCCTCCTTTGGGACAAAGTGTAATGATGGTGTTGGGTAATACAAAAGCATGTCATTTAAAGCAATACTTGATTCAAAAATGAAAATTCTGTCATAATTTAGTAATTATTCAGTGAAAATATCAGTCTCTGTCATCAGCTTTTTAATCTCAATACATTAAATTCAATACAGAGTTTGTGAAATGAATGTCTCTTATGAGCCTTTCTTTTAATTAACAGTTACATTTTTTTTTTATTGGTTTGAATCTGTCTGAAACACCACTCTGGACAATTTAAAGCATTTACAGAGAGAGAATTTCAAAATAAATCAGACTCAAATCAAACTGAATCGAAAGAATCAAATAAACATGAATAAGAACTGGTATTCACAATGAGCCAAATCTGAATTCTAATGTTTCAGACTGATTCAAGTCAAACGAGAGTCAATTTTGATTACATACAGTATGGACTTTGCGGCAAATTCTACAACCAAAGACATAACTTTTAAAATGTACCACATTTAACGCTACATGAAAATGGAGCTTTAGTCAAAAACTATTGAAAAGAAACGGCTCATTAGAGACATTTGCTTCAGGAATCTGGCAATTCTGGTAGTGCTCTATGTTTTTGATTCACTAAACTGAACTGGCTCATAAGAATCATTTATTTGTGAGCTAAGCCATAGAAGGAGATTCTGACAAAATAGTGACTTAAATTTCAGTCTGGTTGGGAACTACATCACATGAACACAGGAGTTTCATCTTCATGCAAGCTATTCCCTGAAATATACAGTATGTACGCCCCAGGTAGAACCACAGGAGACGATGTCGGGAAGAACCACAGGAAGACAACTATTAGAGAGTGCTATATGTCTGTGGATATAGAGGAAATAGACAATGTCTGAAACAGAAGATCTAAATATGTGTGTGTCTATGGAGGAGGGGACAAAAACGCCTTTACACTTCCACTACAAAACAACTGTAAAGCAAAGGATGATTCAGAAGATTCAGTTGAGTCTGTGGCTCACCAAATGTTAGGGAGCAAATTACAGAGCCCTGGAAAACTGGTTGGCTGCTCTGGTGAATGAAGTGGCCTTTAGTCACTAATTTTAGCCAAGCTGGGTGGAAGCACACAGTCTAGTTGAGCTATTAATGAAATGACTGTACTAATCTAAACAAAATAATAGAACAAAATTGCATGCAATTTTAATGATAAAGAACGAATTAAGCCATGTTCTGTATGTGTTTTAGGGCCTTATTTCAGTGACTTTTAGTTTTTCACTAACCACGCATAAATGTTGTTTTCTCACAAACACAAACATGTACATTCATGCTGCTCACATATTATTGTAGCCCAGTTTGTGCTAATTAAAGTGTAATCAGACTTTAGCCATTAATATGTTTTTAAGATACTGAAAAATAAAACACAGGGCATGTCAAAACTTCTCAAGTGCCCCCAAACCCCCTCAGACCCCAGAGGGTTAAAGTCCAAAAGCTGTACTTAATAAAATGATTCTTCATGAGATGTTTATTTTTCAAGCTAATACGCATTAGCTACGCATTACTCTTGGTGAGTACTTTCGTTACATAGAAGAAAACACTATAAAAGTTTACTGTAATGACAAAAACGTGGAAATATTAACTACCTATAAAATAATGTTACCACATCTCACCCTAACCTGATTTTTCCTGCCCTAAACTGTCTAACACTGTCAAACCATCATGTGTGAATGGACAGAACAGGTGTTTCACTAGAGAACGTCAAAAACTTATTTTTGCCTGATTTATAGATCTCCTACCTTATCGTCCGCACTGAAATGCAGTATTTCCACATCAGATTCAACATGAGGGCATTTCCTGCCTGGCTGCTCGATGAGGGTCTTTGAAACAAGGTGGTGTAGATCCAAAGAGGAGAAGAAAACACAGTGGAGCTCAGCATGTGCTGCTTGACTCAACTCAACTCCAATCACCCAGACTAGCCGCTCCTACCTCTTTCTTTCCCTTCTCTCAACCACAAACGGAGAGCTACGCTTGAAGTGCTCACAAGTGGGAGAAAAAAAAAATCACTAATTCATTCACCCCCCACCCCAGTTCAAGTTACAGCAGTTGTTGCTGCTTCTGAAGTATAGGCGTCTTTAGCTTTGTTTATGCAGCCATAACCAAACGTTCTCCTCTGAGAGAAGTCGTCTAGCAGCAATCAGAGGTTCCCATGCTAGCAAAGGAATGGAGCATGCTATGTATGTACATCAGAGACACATCCGGATGTACTCGTTCTCCTCAAGCAGATGCACTGTCAGCTGCTCGCAGGGTGTTTCTTTTGGTTCGGAGGTTGTTAAATCCCAGTCTGTGTCAAAATGGAAAGGCAGGCCCACTCGGGCAACACTTATGCCAAGTGTGACACATCTCCCTAAGGAGGCCAGGGAGGGTCTGACCAATGTTTATACTCTCAGACATGACTTGTGGATGTAGTTAATTAGGCTCAATAACATCAAATGAGTGTCGTAATGGAATTTGAATGTAAAAACGCAGATGCTGTTGAGCTGAGGGAGGCCAGATTTGTCCTGAAGAACAGTGCTGGAGGAGGCTATGAGATCATAATCAAAGCCTGTCATTGGAGTAAAGGCTTGGCACGCTCCATGGAAATGGATTACTCTCAAAAACTGTAACTTAAAGCCTTGCACACCAACACTGGGATACACATGGGAAAGCATGTGAGGAAAAGCCATGAAGAAGAAAAACTCTTTTAAAATGAAGGCTTAAAGTTCTGCAAATACAGATGAGTGAAATATAAAGTGAGATCGATTTTAGAAGATATCATTCGTTTTTGTTTGGCTCTGTTCACCTCCTCACTGGTTTTGAAACTATTCCACAACCTTCGGGTTAAACTGTCCACTGTGATTTAAAGGGAAGGTGAATATTAAAACATTTTACTGTTTTTTTTTATATAACAGAGTTTATGTTGTGAAGCCAACTTAAAATGTACAAGGAAAACTATCCAAAAAAAGTACTTAGGTACACTACTTTTCAAAAGTTAGAGTTATTATCAATGTTGAAATCCGCATAATATTTTTGTGGAAATGGGATATCTTTTTTCAGGATTCTTTGATGAACAAAGTTCAAAAGGATTTATTTGAAACAGAAATAATTTGTAACATGATAAATGTCTTTACTGTCACTTTTGATCAATTTAATGGATTCCAGCTGAATAAAAGTATTCAGTTTTGATTATATAAGGCAAATTCTAAGACCAAAGTTATAACCTTTAAATCGCACCATATAGTAATCTTACGGGAAGTCTGGTGTTCGTTTTTCCATAGGAAATATAGCCTACAACAAAATATTATGAAAGCAAATTCACAAATGAAAAATTTAAATCTGCTTGCTTTCCATGTCAACTTGCCTGACATTTCACATGCTGCTGAAAACAGAAACCCTTTTCAAAAGGATAGGAATAATTACCAGCACCTTTCTAAAGCAGCCTTGCTTTGTTGTTTCTGTTACTGACATCAGAATACTTCCCTGAAGACTGCCACATCCTCCAAAAAACATCCTCCCTTTCTCTAATTACTGTCCAACACATTCACACACATATGTCTGGACAGAAAGAAACACACATACACACTGGCACACATATACATGTTTTTTTTTCTTTTTCTGTAGCCTCCAGCTTTTTGGCAGCGGAAGACTGAACAAAATGCAATATGGACAAAAGCATTGCAATTCAAGGCACAGAGCACACAAACACACACACAAACCAGCTTTAAGTCCATCATAAAGTGGGGGGCTGCTGTATCACTGTTAAAGCTGACAGTTTAATACTGGCTAATAATGGAAGTGCGGAACACATTATGAGGATGAATTTATGACTACGGCTTTATTTATGACATTGATGTGCAAGTTTAATATCTCACTATGTAGTCTCCATCTGACATACTAAAATAATTAAAAGACAAATCAATATTTATTTGGTAAGTAGTCACATAATATGCAGGATAATGTACAGTTACACTGTTATTAATGCAATGAAACCACTTTAAGATGATACTGTACATTACCTCTTTCATATTAGCCTAACCTGAGACTTAGTTATGTCATTTCAAGTCGTTCATCATCATCATAATCCTAAACACTGGCACAGACTAAAGGACTGCTTACACAATGTCCAAATCAACTACACAACACCAGAGTGTAAATAAATAAATAAAAATAGAAATAAAAAAGGCCACATTTTTTTATCAGTAAAGATAAAAAAGTCTGTGAATGAGTAAAAATAAACAAAATATTTTTTCATAAATTATAATACATTTTAACAATTCACTCATCTGTTTTACATATTCTTTCTAGACATACATTTTTATCGGTATTTGTGTCCACTGGAAATCAATCTTGACCTTGGCACTGCTAGCATCATTTTTCGCCAGTTAAGCAATGGGAACATACAGTTCACTCCTATTTACACAAATGAAATAAAAGAGTGAGAATGAACAGAAAAGAAGCCCAGTTTCTGCTTCACCACAATTACAAGCGAAAAGCTCCATAAAAGGCGAGTCTGTTTTAAGAAATGACCACAGCAAGGGAAAAAAGCAACTCTTGGTCTTTTTTATTTCAGCATCCAGACTTCAAAAAACATTCCAGCCGGCACGTGTACACCCACCTCCACAACTGAGGTGACTATTAATGATCTGCTCTGCTAATCTGCATATGGAAGGGATGCTGTGTTTGTCCCCACTTTGGCACAGAATATGTTTCTAGACCACAGACATACAGTAGATGTAGTTTCTGTAGAGGCTACTGTAGATGCAGTAACAATAGATTCAGAATGAGAACTAAAGGAGAACTGAAGCCAGTAGAAATTAATGGAGAACAAACTGGTGTAATTAGCAACACTAATGACTGTATCATATTAATCAGTGAAGCACATGTATGTGAAGTCATATGAGGTTTTGTTCCAGCCTTAAAGGGCCAGCAGCCCTTAATATACTTTATATATTAATGCAGCTATTAGAGGCACCTTCAGCTAAAAAGAGAGTATTTTTTTCCCCATCAAATCATCCAGAGAATCCGATGACAGGGTAAAATGCTGTTTCTGATAAGGCAATTGAATATATGTCCGATTCCATTATCAACGTTATTGTTTGCCCAACAAAAATGCAAAATGTTAACGCTTATAAATCATTTTAATGTGCTCTAAAGAGGTTTCAGTTGGCCGCTTATATCCTGACAGTACCAGCTGCATAATTCTGTTCTGAAACTCCTACACTGAGTATCTAACATATGGCGTGCAGAGAATAAAAATAAAGAGAGATTTTTCTCTTTTGTTTCTTCAGTTTTGTTTTTAAATGTGAGGTTGAAAGTCACCAACGACACTGTATATTGTGCTAGATTGACAGCATTGCACTGTGCACAAAAGCCACGTTGTGTGAACTGCGCAGTTTCCACCGATTACAGCAGTCAATTGAAGGACACGGTTAGGCGAGAAGGTCAGCACAAACAGTTGACAGGGGATTTCCTGAGTTGCTGCTCGAGTCAGAGATGTCCGGATTCCTTAGTCAGCAAAGGTTAAGCACAACAACATCATGTTGTTTTTTTATGGTGGTCACAGGAGGGGAAGAGGATGGGAGACCCATAAACTTCAAGGCCTACAGGTATCAGTAATGACAGCTTCCTCATCAGTGATACAACAACTTATATTATGTATAATATAATATAATATAATATAATATAATATAATATGGGGGGCTGTTGAATGCTTGAATTCTTGACGAACATTCTAAGGTTGCAATTATTTTCAGAGAAACACACAGCAAAAGTAGTTCCAGGCAGGTCTTGACCACATTACATGTCCAAATCCCTTCACCAAATAATTTAAGTTATTTCAAAGGTCCTTACAGCTTACAACAGCATAAGAACCGAAACCCACAAAGACACTGACCAAGATAAAAAATATAGTAAACAATAGGAAAAAACGGACAAATTATTTCCATATTTTTGCCACAAATTTCCGATTAATTATGTACGGAAAGCACATGCTCTCTTTCTCCTGCTCTCGGAAACATACACGTGCACAGAAACGTGTTGTCAGCACAGCACATTTTATCACTAATATAGTTTAGCAACTTAAAAGCTATTCTTGAAGCAGATGAACTTACAGTTTCGCTATTAGTTGAGACGCTGCTGCCGAACACTGTTGAGAGACGTGCAGACTCAGGTAATTCACACACACTTAATCTCTCTCTCTCTCTTTCTCTAATAACTTCATAACTGCATTAGTCTGTGATCAACGGCTCAAGTCTCCATTACTAGGTCTAAAATTATGTTTTAGAATTAGAAAAGTAGGCGAGGAATGAGATGCGTAAGAAATTAGTCCTACACACAAGAGTGTTTTAAGGACAAAAACCTGACAAATGTCTCGAAATACGACATGTGATTCTGAACGATGTGTTGAGGTGTTGTAACTGTAGTATAAGCAGAATAATTGACTCTGGTCTGTTGAATTATTAGAAAATGATTTTCTAATAATTCAATGGTCCATCGTCAATTATTTCTTATATATAATATAATAATCAAAACTACTAAATAAAAGTAAAACATTTAATATCTAACTACTAAATAAAAAATACAGTATATAAAACTACAAACAAACAAATGAAAAAATATTTCATGTAGTTCTCAATATTAGTTCATAAAAAAGCAAGTGTAATAATAATACAAGGATTTAGTTAAATATATATATATTTTTAAATTAAATATTGCTGCCACTGCTTAAAATTTCATGTCAACTTAAAACCAAAGCTTAAAGTTCTGCTGGATGTAAGAATGAAGACTATCCTCAAGCAATGACAGAGTCCCGGACAGAACACACACATGTGACCCATCACAGGACGAAGCCCAGGGGCCCGCCGCATAACATGCCCCACAATAGAGGATCAGATCTGTGATGGAAACGCTTGTCAGGTCACAGAAACACAAAAGAGCTCGAGTTAAATCAGCCTGACTCGCTGTAACCTCAGCTTTACAGCCCTCAACTCACAATAACACAAAGACACACTGAACTGAGGTCAGTCATGGCTCTTTACTGACTGAATAACAGCCTATAAAGCTGATCTGAAAACTGTTACTGAGGGAGAACAATACAATGCAGACAATGACTTTTTAATTAGAAATTAATTGCTCATAATGTGACAAAGAGAAGCACATTATCATAAGCTGATAATACCTTCAATCATTTGTAAAGTCAAATTTAAATAAAAGCAATACAGACGCCAACACTGAACAAAGACCTCTTACCTTTTATAGAAGCCATTGAGAGGCTGTAAGCAAAGAAACTGCCAGTAATCCAAGCAGAAAGTCTTGAGCTTCAACATTTTCCTGAGCAAGAACTGACGAGTTTAGTGATTTAGCATCCCTGCTAGCCTGCATAAAACAGCTGAGATCCACGTGGTTGCACCATCACACCTGACTCAGAGGTGTTTGAGTGACGGTAACTATGCCAAACGTCCTGTAGATCGACGTACGACAGGACCTCAGTGGCGGCTGTAAGTCCTTCCAGCACAAATAGTAACACCCTTTGTGATGTCTCTCACACCCTCAATGAAGATGTCACACACACACACACACACACACACACCATGTGTCCGACTCTACACCGCTTCAGGGATGTGACACAAAGTGTGTGAGAAAGATATCTGTATATCCTAACACTAATCCAGCAGGCCCAAAACAGTCCAAAAAGATTAAAAAAGGAAAAAGCTCAGCTTTGAATTACAGCTGCTTCCATTGTCTGTCAGTGCTGATGACAGAGTCCAGCTCCAGTGTGCTTCACCGCAACCACAAAGCCCCCTACGCCCCCCTGCCTGGCCCGTATTAATTATGCTTTATCTGATGGTGCGCTCCCTTTGCCAGCCATGTGTGTGCTGAGCAGTGCTAATCACTAGAAGCACATGGTGATCAGCAGGGACCGACGCTCACCAAACACAAGCTGGCTGATTTACAACCCCACTCTGATATGCTGATGCCCGTTGCTGGGATACGAAATCACTAGCGATTAAAATGCTAAATGGAAGCCTTAAGATGATGTTGATTGGCTGAGAGTGGGATAGTGGGTGTGGCCAAGTTAGTCAGTGAGGGTACTAATTTTTTTCCCCATAGTATTTCAGGGGAGCTGACATGAAATCCCAAGTAGTAATTTCTTCTTAATTTTAGGAAACTTTTTAATTTTCTTCATAATATTAATTGAGAGATTATTTTGAGTAAATGTAACTTTTAGTAAATTATTATGTCACATTACTTGACTCCTAAGTGACCTGCAAAGAAAGAAAAAGAAAGAAAGAAAGAAAGATTGTGACCAGTTGCAGCACCAAAAATATTCACCTTTCCTTACATAAATATCAAACATAAGATCAAACATAAATTTGATCTTGTTGTCAAAGATATCAAACAATATTTTAAACAATATTTAAATAATACCTTTAAACAATAACTTTTTTGTAAATTAAAAAAAATATTTGTCACAGTACATGGCTATTTAAATGCTGCAAAAAAGATAGATAATTAAAAATGGTAAAGAAATGTAAAAACAAAAATAAAATATATAATTTCCCTTAAAAATAAATTTTATCTCAATATTTAAAAAAAATCAAATAATATTTAAACAATATTTTTTTAAACTAATTATCATTAACATATATATTTTTAATATTTGTACATTTAAATATTTGTCAAATATATGTCACGCTACATGACTATTTAAACAAACTGCAAAAAGCTAAAATATTCCTAAAACTGTAAATAAATACAGTAAGTAAACATAACAAATATAAAATAATAACAATGAAATTAAAGACACATTATTATGCATGAGCTGACTCTAAACCTGAATATGCAGAGAAACAAATGAGATGTGACCACAGTGTCACGGAAATTGAATGCACTGAAAGAGGTGTATTTAAGCACATGATAGCACATTCACGCAATCCATTTTAAGGTAGCATGACCAGTAATTACCAAACCCTGTAGGCACTCATTTCTCTGGAGAATATCAACAAACTTGTATGTGTGTGTGTGTTTAGGATGCTCGTCGTTATGCGAGACACTGAAGCCCCTGCATGCAGACGAATCATTCTGCTCCCTCTCACACCCTCTAAACTCTCTTCAATCCATCCACAGCCTGGCACTCAAACAACAAACACAGTGCTCTCGCTGTAAATTGGTACAACAGATCAGGGATTTCTTTGTCTAAGTGTAAAGTGAGAAATGCTAAATGACGCTAGCAGCCAAACAGAGCTCTATAGAGTTGAGCATTCATCCTGTTTGTTTGCCAAGGCACAAAAAGCCGAATGGTAAACACTAAAAACGCACATCATTCAGCAAAATATAAAAATATATACATATACAAATATACATTTATTTTTTATTATTATTATTTTTTTACATTTTATGATAACAGGGGCCTTAAATTGAACAAAATCTCTTTAAAACATTTCCAAATAGGTTCATTATTAATTAGTTCTTGGCTGATCCAAATGTTTTATGACTAGTACTCACATCCCAGACAGTCAATTCACTTAAAAAAAAACATCTACACTCCACCTTTCTGCAATTTAACTTGGAATTGTATTTAATTTTATGTTCCCTTTTACTTGTTTAAAACCCATAAACATAAGAGAGCCACACATGTCCCTTTTCCTCATGAATGAGTCTTAGCAAACAGCCCTTTTGTCCTGTGGGTACTTTAGGGGCCCATTTTATCGGGGGTGGGGGGGTTGGTGTTGCCCACTAAACAAATGAGGAAACATCCATCATCTGGTTGGCTGAGATGACTGTCACCTACTTCCTCTTAGCATCAAGCCGTTTTAAATGCAACATGATCATTTAAACCTCCCGATTTAAAAAAAGTTGTAAAATATATACAGTTTTTACTATATATAGAAGTAAGAGAAAGAAAACAACAGAAGTAGTACTCATTCTTTAAAAGTCAATCGCTAAGCTAGGCTAAAAATATCATTTGAAGGCTCCAGTTTCTTCAATGAGAAACAAATCTTTAATGGGGGAAGGTGTAAGTGTTCTTGAGTAGGATCAGCGGCAGCTGGATGCAATAATCGCATGCCAATGTGCATTGGCTCGTTTAGTTTACACTCGAAGTAGATTGGTCTCTCTAAGCGAGATCCCAATTCGTCGGTCATCCGACATGACGTCGAGAATGACCGACTGAAAGGGAACTGATTATATAACTACACTGAACAAAATTATAAACGCAACACTTTTGTTTTTGCCCCCATTTTTCATGAGCTGAACTCATAGAAAAAGTCTTAGATCTTTGAGTTCAGCTCATGAAAAATGGGGGCAAAAACAAAAGTGTTGCGTTTATAATTTTGTTCAGTGTATGTTTGTTCTATTGTAATGGTTCATCCCCGAGCCTGATGTCTCTTCAAAGACAGATTTTCTAGTGAAATAGAGAGCAGGGTTAAATGTACCAATGGGGGGAAGCTTGGAGATGCTTTTATATCAGTCCAAAAAACACTGCCCTTCCTGCAGGTAAAACCAGTTTAAGCTGGTCGTTGTGTTTTGAAACATGGTTTCTAGCAAGTTTAAGTTTTGGAGCAGCAGATATATCAGCTTAAGTCGGTTTTTGGAACATGCAAGCAGGTCAACTAGCTAATACCCAGCTTGGACCAACAAAACATCAGCTACCATGTGCCAAAAAACAGCTTAAACTGGATTTTCCAACAACATGTTTGTTTGTTGTCAATAACCCACCGCACTGACAAATACTGCAAAACATGGCGATGTGAGATCATGTTACTGGCACTCACTCCTAGTCTAGTCTCCATCTTGTCTGCACTCACTCTGCTAACTTCATTACGTCCCTCTTTTCTCTTCACAATGTAAACATCCTTTATGACAGAGCTGTATGGCTTCTTTTAATTCCCCCGGTGAATGGGGTGATGATCCCGTCAGAGATACATTTTACAGATAAAACGCCTGAAGTGGCGTTATCTGCGCTCCTCCGGAAACCAATAAGCGCTAAACACGGTCGGGCTTCGGCTCGTGGGCCGTCTTAAAGACCCCCGAGAGGCCTTGGGCACCTCAAACGGGTAGGTGGGTGTGTAATTGCAGTTATTGTCGTGGCTCGTGGGGCCAGATGGGGTCTAGGCTGAAATGATGAGGGTAGGCTGTATTTTCGTGGCCTCAATACCACTTCTCTGAAAGATGGCTATCACGGCGAAGAGCTCTATCTGGGCTCTGGCAGATAGACTAATTTATCTCGATATATCCTGCCGTGCTGCTATTCTGTAGAAGGTGTCCTCAACCCAGGGCGAAGAATTATGA